GCGATTGGGTGGGGGGTGCTAGTAGTGGAGGAAGACGAGTCCAAATTAAGTGGGTAAGTGAGGTAATTAGTGGGCTGGATGATTGGACTTGCCGGGGGAAGGGATCGACGGGTGCTTGGAGAGCTCAACGGATATCAGGGGCGCGAAGTACGAGGGAAAAGTGTTTCGACCAATGATCGGGTGGATGGCTCGATGGTGGAAGATGTGGGAGGTGGGCGGTGAGGGGGGAAGAGATGTAACTCGAGGAAGGATTGAATGCGGATCAGGGGAGGACTGGGTGAGATCGGACAAAGATTGGGAAGATATCGGGATATGGTCGCGGTGGGGTCGACGTAGGGATGAGTTCAATACAAAACGGGAGTGAGGTAGATTTCAGATTGAGAGCAGAGGGTAAAGGGTAGGAACTGGTGGGTAGCGGGGAGGAGACGGGATGGAGTCGTGGCCAGGTCGGGGTGGGAGTAAATCGTTATTGGTTCGATGTGAAGATTGGGTAAGGTTTGGACAGCGGAAGGGGCCGGGGTGGTTCGAGATTCAGTTGGAGTAATGTCGGGTTGGAGATGCGGAGGGGGGCCAAGGTGATGGCAATTCTGGGTCGGGGGGGATCGGGGGGAATCGAGTGGAAGGATCGAGGTCAGAGATAGCGAGCGGCTTGGGCTGCTGATGGGATCGGACTGGTGGGGATCTGGGTGGGGGTCGGGGCAAGGTCGGAGATGGGTGAGGACGGGGGGGGTAGAGGTAGGTGGAGTTCGGCAGTGAGGTGGGCTTGGGGTTGACTTGGGCTTGGGTTTGATGTTAGAGAAGGGGGGGATGAGAGGCCGGATAGGGGTCGGGATCGAGTGGATAGTATGAGGCCGGATTGGAGTCGGGATGAGAACGGGCCGGGGATGCGGTTAATTAGAATGGGATCAGGGTCGCGACTGAGGGAGACGAGGCTGTAGGGGGCGGATGGGGCCGGGATAGGGTCGCAGGAGGCGCGGGGTCGGGTTGCGAGAGTGGAAGCGGGGCGGGGTTGGGTAGTAACCAAGCAAGATCGGGGAAGGGGGAGGGATTGTGGGGAGGATAGAAGAACCGGGGGGGTTGAGACGGGCTCAGGAGCGGCGGG